GCAGCGCCGGCGGAGCCCGGCAGGGGGCGCGCGAGAGCGCACCTCGCGGGGCCGCGCGGCCGCCGGGCCCTAGTGCTCGCCGGTCCGTGCGCGCCCCCGCCGGGCGCCGGGGGCGCGCGGCCCATCGGCTCCCCGTGTGTCCCGCGGCGCGGCGCGGCGCGGCAGGAAGCGCCACTCCGGCTCAGACGGGCCCCTGCAGCCCCGGTTCAGCCCCCTGCAGCCTCTGGAGGGGCTGGGAAGGCCCCGGGGGCTCTCTCTGTCTCCCTTCTGGCCGGCAGTCTGGGGCAGGATGCGCCCAGCCACGCGCCTGAGGCCCCCAGAGGCGGCGCAGCCGGAGCAGGCCTGCTTGCCTGGCCACAGGCTCGGGGGATGCTTCTCTGTATCAAGCCGCGGGCAGTCCCCCCCAGGCAGGCAGGACAACCCTGCCTGCAGTAGGTGCCAGCAGGCACCAGCAGGGGGTCCCTGGGAAGGGGGTAGGTGGGTCCCACAGAAGAGGCTGGGGCACACAGCCAGGCCACCGGCCCGCCAGCTCCGACGTGCCCCAAGGCCTCCCCCGGATCCCCGCCTTGCTGGAGGTCCTGGCAGACCACGTCCCGCCCAAGCTGTTCCTTGTCCCGCGCCAGGCAGCCCCGTTCATTCGGCGGGAGGCGTGCGCTTCCCGCTCTCCCCGTGAGTGGTGGCGGCCAGGACCTCGAGCTGAGCAAGCTGCCACCACCATCCAAGGGGCCCCCTCACTTTCTCTTCTCGGGCCCTGCAAGGACGCCCCACAGCACCGAAACATGCCACTCCACGCCTTCCTGCCGAAATATTTTGCATGTCCCTAAAATCAACCTTTGGACTGAAGAACGGCCAATGTAACACCAATTTTTAAAAAGAATGCAGGGAATGACGGGCCAGTGAACATCTGCCCTGGGTAAACCGCCTGAAAGCACGATCAAAGACGGAAGCAGGACGCGCGTGAAAGGACAAGCCCTGCTGGGAAAACATCAGCATGGCTCCCGCAGGCGAAGCCGCGTCTCTTCAACCGATTGCAGTGCTTGGAGTGTCGATGATCGCGCAGACGGGCCACCCAGCCGACGGTCGCTCACACAAGGCCTTTGGCTGCTCCCTCGCCAAAGCTCCGGAGCAAGCTGGGCGGTCATGGAGCAAAAGCGGGGGGGGGGGTCCTCCTATGGATCCCCAACTGGTTAAGGAGCAGAAGGCGGGGTGGGACTAAACGGCCGCTGCTCCGGATGGAGTCGCACAGGACTCTGTACTAGAACCAGTGCCAGATGCTCTGGCTGGCGGCGGCACCGGTGCGCTTCTGGGCCTGATGCCAGGTGCCGGTCCAACCCCTACGTGGCTGGGGACCGCCGTGCCTGCAGGCGCAACTCTCCACCCAGGTCTCCCCGGCCCCCGTGCCGGGCCCCCGAGGCCTTCCGGGGCCATGTCAGGGGCCTGGGCGGTGGTAGCTGGGAGGAGGGACCGCCTGCCCCCGTCTGGCGCCAGCGTCTCAGCCCTGGGCTGGGGCACCGTCCCCCACCCCTGCTGCCCCAAATGGCCCCGAGGGGACACACCGCGCCCGCCTTCTCACCCTGAAACTGCCTGAGCTTGGGCAGCAGTCCTGCTCTGTTGCCTTGTCTGTGCTGCAGTTCCTGAGCCCCTTCCCGGAGAGCCCCGGGAGGTGGGGCCGTGGCGTGCGTGCGGGGGCTCTCATGACTAAGTGGGGTGGACTGGGGGGGCGTCCGCAGAGCATCTTTGGGGCGCTGCCTGTGCACGATTCGTGACACACCAGCCGCTCACCCACGGTGAGTCACCGAAGGAAGGTGCCTGAGGCAGAGCCGCGAGAAGCAGCCGCCCGCAGGGGCCCTCTGGGGCGATGAGTGAGCTCTTCCCGCCTTGCCCGCCTTCTTCCCAGTCCCTCTCCCTCGTTCCTGCTGGAGGCCATGCAGGTGGGGTGCCCCCCCCCCCCCCGTGTTCGAGCATTAGATGCAAACCAGAGTCGCTGGATCTGCTCTGGAGCATGCACGTCATGTGGTGGATTCTTCCTGTGCGCGTGGTGCCCAGCCGTGTGACGCTTGGGGAGGAGCAAACCCTCGGAGCCCCCGGAGAGCAGGCCGGGTGGAGAGGGGGCCTCTTCTGCGGGGCGTGCCGGGAACGGGGCTGCGCAGAGAAGAGGGCGTCTGTAACTTTCTCAGCTAGAGGTACTTGTGCTGAGGGGCTTTTTAGGGGAAACGGGTGTGTAGAGTGAGAACAGCCCTGTCGGATCAGGCCCGAGGCCACCTAGTCCCACACTCTGCACGCGGTGGCAAACCGGCTGCCCCCCGGAGCCCTCCAGCGGGGCGGGCGCAAGACCTCCGCCTGCCCAGCTCCTCAGCCGCTGGCACCTGCAGGCAGGCCACCTCTGGGGCAGGCGGGAGCCCAGAGCAGCTGGGCTAGTAGCCACTGCAGGCCGCCCTCCCCATTACTCTGTCCACTCTAGAAGTACCTGAAAGGCTGCCCCAAAGAGGAAGGACAAGAGCTCTTCTTGCTCAGACTGATCAGCTCAAGCTGCGGCAAGCCAGGCTCAGGCTGGACATCAGGAGACGCTTCCCCGCTGTCCGGGCAACACGGCAGTGGCACCAGCTGCCCGGAGAGGTGGGGGGGCTCCCACCCCGGAGACCTTCAAAGAGACGGAGAGCCCTCGGAGTGGGATGGCGTAAAATAGTGTCCTGCAACAGCAGGGGGGTGGACTTGATGGCCTTCAGGACCCCTTCCTACTCTACTATCCTATGATTCTGTGTCCCCTTTTAAAGCCACCCAGATTGGTGGCTGCCACCACCTCCCGTGGCCGTGAATTCCACAGATGTCCTAATCCTCCCACCGGTCAGCTCCATGGGATGACCCTTTTTGGTCCGAGTGTTACGGGGAAGGGAGAGAAAAGCCGCCCCCCCCATCTCTGTGCCACACATTATTGCAAAGATCTCTGTCATGCCCCTCCCCATCCTCCTCCTAGGCTGAAGAGTCCCAGGGAGCGGCTGCAGCCCCCAGACCCTTTTCCTTGCCCTTCCCTGCCCCTTTCCCAGCTCCTTCTTGTCCAGGACGGGGCACAAGATTCTCCCTGTGGTTGTGCCAGAAGTGGAGCAGGAGGAGTGCGGTCTCTGCAGCCCGTTCTCTGTTCCGCTCCGTATTATGCCCGGCACAGAGTCTTTGCAGTAGCTGGATTGGGGGGGGGGCGGTGACAGCTGGATTGAGCCGTCCACCACCACCCCAGCTCCCTCCGTGACTCAGCCGCTGCCAGTTCAGATTCCACCAATGGATACCTGAATTTGAGGTTTTCTCCCAAACATGCCTGACTCTGCGCTTGCTTACATTGACCTGCATTTGCCTCCTTGAGGTCCATTCTCAGCTTGGAGAGATCCAGGGATGCCTGGGGTGTGGAATGGGCTTCCCCGGGAGGTGGTTTTGCCCCCCCCCCCGGTGCGGGTGTTCAAGGATAGGCTGGACGTGCACATGGTGGGCATGTCATGAGAAGAGCCGGTTGGAGCTGGGGTCAGACTAGATGGCCCAGGAGGCTCCTTCTGGCTCGCTCTGTTTCTATGAGACCGGGAATCTCAGCAAGGCCGCCCTGCGGTCCCGTCCAGCACAGGTCATCTAGCCTTGGGCATCCAAAACCAAACCTGAGCCAGATCCTGGGCTGACCCATCTTACTGAGATGGGCCCAGATGGAGGGAAAGATCTCTCTGCAGCCCTCACAGCGGCCACGGTCAAAGGAAAAGAGGCACGTGGCTCAGAAAACTGCCCCGGACCTCCGGTGCTTGCGTGGCAGCGGCCAGGAACGCCAGCTGCCAGTTCCCCTCCGAGAACATGGGGGCCACCTGGCCCTTTGAGAAGATGGGCAGGGAAGGGACGCTGAGGCCCCCTGGCCTTCCCAGGTGGTGGAACGTCCTCAGATCTGCCAGCAGACACTCAGGGATTGGAGGGAGGCTTGCCGGCCGGCCCGGACTCATGGCCCTGCCAAGCTCCCAGGGGAGGTGGGGGCGGGGGGGCGAGGGCGACGTGCAGGAGCAGTGCAGGTTGGCTGCACGTGCAGGAGCCTCCGGACAGGCTGAGCGTCATCTGGGCATGGCCAGAGTGCCCATGCACAGGGGCCCTTCGCTGGACCCCTCGGATCCACGGGTCGGCAGCTGCTGCTTCTGTCTGGTGCTCCTTCCCACCCAGAGGGTCTGCGTGTGCACAGACCCCAGCCCCAGGTGGGTGGCCGTGTGTCAGGGGTGCTGGAGCCAAATCCCCAGGGCCCCCGTGAGATGCCCCTGAGGCCTCTTCGAGGCACGAACTCCTACGGAGCGGCAGCCTGCCTGGGCACGATCCTTCCCGGCCAGCTTCCAGGCTGCCCCCCCGCTCAGGTGGCCCCCTGGGTGGGCCGTGGCTTGAACCCACGCCAGAGCCAGTCTGGCCACTTCACGTGGCAGAGAAGAGAGGCAGGAGTGGGGCCCGTGTAACCCAGCAGGGGGCGACTTGCCCAGCCCTGTGGCAGCTGCGGGGTTCGCGGGGGTGCTTGGCCGTGCCCGGGGACCACAGCGCAACAGCCCCACAGTTGTTGGCCCGCCAGCAGAGTCTCTGGCGCGGTGGCGTTTTCCTCTCCCACGGCCTGATGCACGCGGAGGAGCTACAAAGGCTGGGCCACGGGAGTAGGGGGCTTCCACGGCTGCAGAGCACCTCCGTGGCCTTCCAGGGCCAGCCCCCAGGCGCTGCGGATCGTGCTGGCACAAGCGGCCTGTCCGAGCAGGAAATGAGCTACCCGATCGCTCCGTCAGCCACCAGCAGGCCTGGCAGTGGGCACCCGGGCGATCTGCCGAGGCCGGCGGGGGGGCGGGGCTGCTCCTGGCGTGCCCCGCACCGGCCCGCCCGGGGCATCTGGCAGCCCAGAGCCTGGGGCAGATGGCGGCCCACCGTCCCACCTCCTCGCCCCGGCCGTCAGCCGGCCCCATGCAGAGCTGCACAGCTGCCCTTTGACCCGGGAGCGGCAGCGAAATCCTCACGGATTAGCGCCGGGCTGCCCCTTGACCTCCTCCTCGGCTGCGCCCAGCCCCGGTGCTCCGGGCGACCGCCAGCACCTCCCTTCCCAGGGCCGTCACAGGCGCTCAGGCACGGCCGGGCAGCAAGCCACAGAGCCGCTCCGCCGGGCAGTGGCGCCACCTGCAAGGCTGGAGCCCCGTCCGAGCCGCTCCGCCGCCGGAGTCGGCCCAGGCAGCCCTGCGGCAGGCGGCTCTGGGCACCCGGAGCCTTCGGGCTGCGCACAGCGCCAGTCGGGATCGGGGTGGGCACGCGGTCAGGGACCGCGAGAGACGGGGGGCTCGAGCGAGCCGTGCCCAAGACCCGGCTGCGCTGCTGGCCGTGCCCTGGCAGGGCGGGCAGCGGCCGGCTCCGTTGCGTGGCGGCTTTGGGCCTCCGCTGGGCACAGGCTGCGTGGCCTGCGATCCCGGCGCCGTCCCTGCCCGCCGGGCAGAGAGCTGGGGGGGGGGGCTCGCGGGCGCTGCAGGAGTGCGTGCGGCCTGCAGAATGTCCTGGACAGACGCCCAGGGGGGTCCCCGCCCTGGCCAACCTTTCGATCCCCCACCCCAGAGAGAGGCGGGGGACGACTCTGCAGCCGGGCAGCACTCCTGGCCCGGGCAGGCCCCCGCGGGCAGCACCCCCGGCTCTCCGGGAGGAGTCCGGCAGTGGCCCTCGCAGCCGCAGAAGCTTCACGTTGGCCTGGGGGGCCGGGGCCCACCCCCGGGGCCAGCGAGGGCTGGCAGCCCCCCGGGACACAGTCCTCGCAGGGTGTTTGCTTCGCGCCGACGTGCGGGGGGTTCTTGGCACCAGCCGGGCAGGGCTCTGGACGGGCCCCGCGGCTCCCCAAGGCCCGCGGCTCGAGCACAGCAGCGAAGCTGGCAGGCCGCCTCCGCCGTGCTCCCCCCGCCCCATGTCAGGGCCCCGGGCCCCGGGCCCCGGTGCTCACGGGTTCTGCTGCGTCTCCAGGCACACTACGAGGCGGAAGGGACTCCTGCGAAGGGAGAACGTCCCGCTTGCAGCCTCTCCCCCGATTCGCGTGGAGCATCGAGTGGCTCTCCTGGGCCGCTTGAGCCGTCCGGCTCCCCCCAGGACTCTCACTTGCCCCTCGAGTCGCAGAGCCCGCGCGGGACAGGGCCAGAGGGCCGTTGGGTCGAGCCCCCGCTGCGGTGGGGCCCTTCGCTGCGCCCTCCCGCTAAGGTGCCCGGCCAGCTCCCGCAGCGCAGCCACGTGGGGGCAGAAGCAAGCCGGCCTTCCCGGAAACTCCCCGGGGGTCTTTCGCCAGGGCCACACCGTGGCCGGGGCCGTGTGCGTAGGTGAGCCGGCGCGGCACTCGTGGCCGGAAAGGGCTCTCCAGGGGAGCATGCAGGGGCGCCCCCCTGCTCCCTCCACGGCTCGGGGCCCCCACGACTCTTGGCAGAGACCAGCATCCTGGGGCCGGGCCATGCTTCCTTCCGAGGCCCAGCAGGCGCTTCTGGCTGCCTGCTTGCCTGGCTGCCTGCTCGCCGGGGCCTTACGAGGAAACCCACGGGCGGACAGGCGGGGCGGCTGCGTTCTCTGCCCACTGCAGCTCCAGGGATTCACTCGGCAGTCCTATGAGGGCAGAGGAAAACGCCGAGCTGCCCGCGGGATCCGTCCCGCAGGATGGGTGCAAGACCCCTGCCTGCCCAGCCGGGCCATATGCCTGCAGGTTTGGGTCCGGGTCTCTCCTTGGCTGGCGCCGTTGCCCAGAGCAACAGTCCGTGGCCCTGTCGGCCGGAGGAGGGGACCGGGGATCCGCCGGGTGGCTTCTGCCGTCTGCGGCTGCTCCTCTGGGGGCCAGTGGGCAGGCCAGGAGGTCTCCCAGTGGTCGGGGCACACGGTGCCCAGCAAGGTCTGCCACCCGAGAGCGGGTCCTGTGAGCCTGCCCTGCCGGCACCGACTCCCCAGGGGCTGCCCCCGCCACGCAGCCGGGAGGAAAGGTTTGCTCAAGGCGCTGGCAGCGGGGCGCGGGCTGAACACGGCGCGCTTGCCCAAAGCAGGCCGCTGAGCGCAGGCTCTTGCGCCCCCGAGAAGCGCCCTGCGTGGCTCACCTGCTCCGCTGGCCGTTTATCCGTCCAACCCACACGCGGCGTCCCAGCAGCTCGCCGATCTCACAGGCGAGGCCTTTCTCAGTCGTGGCTGCAGCCACAGAGTGAATACGCTGACGGTGAGGGGCCCACAGAATGACCCCAGAAGCGGCCGCTGCATTTCTGGAGCTGGCAGGAGCCGCAGGGCTCCGGCTGGGGTGCCGCGTGGACCGGGGCTCGCCTCGAGACGGCCGTGCCCCCTGGAGAGCATCCCACCCCCAGGGCTGCCCTCAAGCCACGCACAGGAAGGGCGCTCGAGAGACCCTGTGCCCCCCCTGCAAGCGGGGCTGGGAGAGGAAAGAGGCTGCTGGAGCAGAGCTGACCGCTCTCGGCCAACCCCAGAGGGGCACAATGGGCAGTGTCTGAGGGCCCCCCAAACGGTGCTGTGCAGCTGGTGACGCCATCACTCCGGGGAAGCGCTCAGGGCTGAAGGACTGCTTAGTGTCCCCCTCAAGGAAGCTGCCTTCCGAAAGGAAGCAGCCCGGCTTGGAGACCTGAGCGGGTCCTGCCGGTCCCTTCCGGGCCTGATTCACGAGGTGGCATCTGCAAGCCAAGCGCTGCGCTTCGCAGGCTCCTGCCCAGCCCCGGGGTGCCTTTCTGGTGTCCTCCTCGGGAGCCCCTGCCAAAGGAGGGGGCCTCTCTGCTGTGGCCCCCAGTGGGGAACACGCTCCAGTGGGGCTCGCCTGGCCTCTCCCTTGTGCTCCTCTGTGCTCTGGGAATGCCTCATTCCCCCCGGAGTCGCAGGCTTCCAGTCACTGCTCTGCTAAACCCTTCAGCTGCAGTTTGGACCTTTGTCCTGCGGCTTGCTGTTGTGCTGCGTTTCGCCCGGCGTTCATCCTGTCCTCGTAAACTTTCATCCTTTCCTCTTAACCGAGGAGGCTCCGCGGGGCTGCGGACGTGCAGCGTCTGTGCGGCGCTTGCTTTCCTGTCGGACGTCAGCTCGGCCTGCGCCTGCAGCGAGGGCAGGGTAGCAGCCCTGCGAGAGAAGGGGGAGCGCTGGAGCAGCGAGCGTCCGCCCCAGGGAGAGCAAAGACGAGGCAGAGCTGCTGGACAGAGCGGTGGAGCTGCGACCGCCAAGAGCATCGCAGGAGCAGGAAGTGCAGCAGCCCGGCTGAGGCAGAAGAGATCCTGGGGAAACGAGGAGGAAGGGGCAGAAGACGCAGACGACACCGTGCGCCAGTGGAACCCCAAACCGCTTCCAGTTCCTCCAGGGCGAGACGGGGGGCAGGGGAAGAGCTGCGCGTTACCCCGTGCGGCTCTGGACAAGAGGCTGAAGGGCCACCAATGGTGTTGGTTGTGGGAGACTCCCTGTTGCGTGAGGTGGAAACACCTGCATGTGAGGAAGACCCGTGGACTCACCAGGTACTCCATCCCCCTGGAGGGAAGATGAGCGATATCACGGCAAGATTGGCAAAGGCTCATCCGGCCCACGGAGACAGACCCTGTCCTTATGCATGTGGGAACAAACGGCACTGCCTGAAAGAGCTCTGAAGGAATCAAGTTGGTCTTTGAAGCTTTATGGGGGGAAGTCAAGAACTTCGGGGCCCAGAGAGTTCACTCTACGATCCTCCAAGTTTGAAGAAGAGGAAGGACGAGGAAAGAAAAGTACGCCAGGTGAGAGCCTGGTTGCGAAGGTGGTGCCGACGTGGCAGATTTGGGTTCTGGGCCCACGGACCAGACTTCCTGGGAGATGGGCTGCTGGCAAGGACGGCAAAGAACCTGTTGAAGATGTTTATTAGCAGGGCTTTAAACTGAATCCTGCAGGGGAGAGAGAAGCACCCCTGGGCCTCGCGAGAAACAAAGGCTTATCCAGCACAAGACAAGGAACTCTGCCATACGGGAATTCTTGATCCTGAAGGAAGCAAAAGCCCCATGTAGCCAAACATGTACCCTGGATTTCAGGGAAGCCCCTTTTAGAACGACGATGAGTCTCATGGCAAGAAATCCAAGAAGGGTGGGAATTTTTAAAAAAGGAAATGCTGAAGGCCCCATTCCAAGGGGAGAAAGGTTGACGAGAGCAGAGGAGGCCCGCGTGGCTGTGAAAGAAAAGGGACACGAGGGGGAAATGGAGGGGAGGCCGGGCTGCAAGGGGGGGATACAAGCAGCGGGCGCGGAATTGCAGGGGTGGTGTCAGGGAGGCTGGTGCTGGCGATGAGCGGAGGCTCGCGAGGGATGCAAAAAGCGACAAAGAGCCCGCCCAGGTGTGTCTGAAGCAAAAGACAGAGCCAAGAAATGGGGGCCAGCCACTCAGTGTGGAGCCCAAAACGATGGCAGATGGCAGAGAAAGGGCGGAAGCGCTCAGCTCCTCCTCTGGCCCCGTCTTCTCCCGGAAGAAGAGCCGGGGCTTCCTGGCGAGGGGGAAGAGCCCGCTGAGGGTGCGGGAGGGCAGCTCCGGACTGGCAGGAAAAGGGCCAAGGACCATGGGCTGGGCTTCACGAGCGCCCGTCTCCGGGTCTGACGGTCTCCATCCTACACTCACGGGGGAGCTGGTGGAAGGACTCAGAACTGTTCTCTTTTATCCCTGATCAGTCAAGGAGGACAGGAAACGTGCCAGATGACTGGAGAAGAGCTAATGTTGTCCCAGCCTTCAAGAAAGGGAACAAGAAGAACCTGGGAACTACAGACCAGTCAGTCTGGCATCAAACCGTGGGAAAGTTCTGGAGCGGATTATGAAGCAGTCAGTCTACAAACACCCCATAAACAATGCAGTGATTCCTAGAAGCCAGCATGGATTTCTCATGAACAAACCTTGCCGGACTAATCAGATCTATTTTTCTGACTGGGGAACCTCCCTGATAGAGTGCAGGAAGGGCTGTGGCTATCTTGTATCTTGGCTGCAGCAAAACTTAAGACAAAATGGCCCATGATCTCCAGATCAGCAAACTACCTAAAATTGGGCTGGATGGATCAACGATCAGGTGGCTCCACAGCTGGCAACAGAACTGGACTCGACGGGTGCCCATCCATGGCACCTTCCCAGACTGTGGCGAGGTGACAAGATCGGTCCAGGGCCAGCGCTCCTCAGCATCTTCGCTCTTCAGTCATTAGCCCGGGTGAGGGGGTGCCGGGAAAAGAGATCGGATCTGCAGATGACTCAAAACTGGGTGGGATAGGTAATGGTCTGGAAGCCGGAAAGGTGATTCAGGGTTATCTTGACAGGTTGGAGCACCAGGCTGAAAGCAACACAATGAAATTCAACAGGGACAAAGGCCAATTTCTGCACGGGGGAGGGGGGCAGATGCATTGTTATAAGATGAGGAATACTTGGCTCAGCAGGACTGAAGGGAGGATGTCGGGATTGTTATAGATCCCAAGCTGAGTGTGAGTCAACCATATGATGCGGCTGCAAAAAGGGCAAAGGCGATTTTGGGCTGCACTGATAGAAGGATCACTTCCAAATCCCATGAAGTCCTAGTTCTCCTTTACTCGGCCCTGGCAAGGCCTCATCTGGAGTCCAATGTGCAGCTCTGGGCTCCAGTTGAAAAAAAATGCAGATAGTGGGGAATCATCGGGATGGCGGTTGGTGACGAGTGGGGTCCCCCAGGGCTCTGTCCTGGGGCCCAACCTGTTGAATCTTTTCATCAACGACCTGGAAGAAGGGTGAACAGTCTGCTGATCAAATTCGCAGATGACACTAAAACTGGGGCAGTGGCCACAACTGAGGAGCAGGTACTCCAGATCCAAAAGGATCTGGACAGACTATGGAAGTGGGCAGGAGACAACAGGATGGCGTTCAAGGTGGATAAGTGCAGGGTCTTGCACTTGGGGCACAGGAATGGGGTGTCATAAGTGCAGGTCAGGGGACAAGTGGCTGGAGAGCAGCGCTTGTGAAAGGGACCTCGGGTGCTAGTCGGCTGCAGGCTGAACATGAGCCAGCAGTGCGATGCGGTGGCCAAGAGGGTGAGCGCCACCCTTGGTTGCATGGCCAGAAGTGTGGCTTCTGGATCGAGAGAGGTATCACTACCACTCTATACGACTCCGGTGCGCCTGCAACTGGAGTATTGGGCTCAGTTCTGGGCCCCTCATGACAGGAAGGACACAGCCAGGTTGGAGTCAGTGCAGCGCAGGGCCACAAGGTTGGTGGCCGGTTTGCAGGGGATGCCGTGTGAGGCGGGACGGAGGGAACTGGGTCTCTCCAGCCTGGAGGAGACTCAGAGGGGATCTGTGGCAACATCCAGGTATGTGAGGGGAAGTCACATGAAGATGGGTAGAGACTTGTTAGGACCCTGAGGGTGTGGAACGGGCTTCCCCGGGAGGTGCTTGAGGCCCCATCGGTGCGGGTGTTCAAGGAGAGGCTGGGCATGCACATGGCAGGCATGTCATGAGTACAGTTGGCTGGAGCCGGGGGTCAGACTAGATATCCAGGGGACCCTTTGCTCAATTTCTATAAGCTGGAAAGCATTCAAAGGAGGACAACAAGGATGACGGGGGAATGGAAACAAGGCCCTGTGAGAAGAGATGGGAAGACGTCAGGCTCGAGAAGAGAAAGCTGGGGGGAGATGAGAGAGCACTCCACCGGTACCTGGAAGGCTGTCACAAAAGGACGGCCAGGGCCTCTCCTTGACCATCCCAGGACACGGGGTAACAGGCCCAAGGTCCCCGCTGAAGAGCGAGGGGCCTCCCTGACGGTGAGCACGAGGCGGCAACGGAACCCACGACCTGGGGAGGCGGTGGGCCCTCCCACCCTGGCGCTGTTCCAGGAGCGGCTGGGCACCCCACGGGGACGGTGTGACTGGGCGCCCTGCGCTGGGCTGGACCCAGAGGCCCTGGCCTGTCCGTCTCTTGACTGGCAACTGCGTTTCCATTTCTACCTTGCCTCGCCGCTGAGGCTCTCCGAACTCAGCTTCGTCCATAAAACAGGAACAGGCCAGTGCCCATCTGGCTCCGCAAACCAGCTTGCCACCACGTGGAATCACTCTGCACACAGAACCAGCCACCTGCAGGTTGAGTTTTGAGTTAATGACGTTTAGTGCTAATATTAACTTGTGAAGGGAATTTTGCCTTGTTCAACAATCATTTGATAATAAAAACGACAATCATTTGTAACAGTAATTTCTAGCAAGCCACTTGGATGTAGTTGCAAAGAGATGCTTCAGGCTGTCATATCACAATTTATTTATTTGATTTATATCCCTCCTTTTCCTTGCAAAGAGCTCAAAGCGGCTTACATCCTCCTCCTCCTCCTGCTTCCAGTCTCGTCCCCACAACAGCAACCCTGTGAGGTAGGCTGGGCTGAGCGTCCGTGGCTGGGCCAAAGTCACCCGCTTGGCTCTGTGGCTCGGCCGGGACGAGAGCCCAGGCGCCTGGGTCCCCGTCCGCCCCGTGCGCGACGCCGCCACCCCACGCTGGCTCTCCGCGTTCCCCAGGGCCTTCCTGGCGGCTGCCCCGTGGAAGGAGGCAGGGCCCGCTCCACCGACCGGCCTCCTCCCTCGGGCCGAGGTGATGCGCGGCTGGGGCCGGGCCGGGCCAGGGGGCCGTCCTTCCTTCGTAGGAATGTTTCTACCCGATGAGCTTTGACAGGTTCGTTCTGTGCCGTTTTGTCTTCGTTTTGCATTTTGTCTGCGTGCGTGACCACTATTCTACGGGAGCCATTCAAGCACGGCGGGGGAGAGTCTCTCGCTGGGAGGAGACCCTCTCGTGGAGAGGAAGCGTAAAAATAAGGACACGTTATTTCGAAGCAGCAGCAGCAGGTGTGACGGGCCGGCCTGCCAGGGGGGCTTCCCGTGCGCTCAGGGCGAGCGCGGCTCTTCCGGCCCCAGGTGCGCAGCTCCCTCGAGGTCTTGGCCGAGCCCCTCCATGACGGGCGGCCCGGGGCCCGGCCCTGAGCGCCTGGAATGCGAAGGGCCGCTCGCTCGGCTCGCCGTGGCCGCCCAGCTTCTTCCAAGTTAACCTGCGAGGGGACAGGGAGGCTGAGGGAGGCTGAGGGAGCCCCTCGCGGCGGCTTGTGCCCTCCGGGGGGCTCCAAAGCCACCGGAGCAGTGGCGCTGGAAACCACCAAATCATGCGCCTCCAAAGCGGTTCAATTTGAACAGACTGAACCCAGGTTCCGTTTGGATGCCAGGAAGCACTTCTGACTGTCAGGACCCCGAGGGTGTGGAATGGGCTTCCCCAGGAGGCGGTTGAGGCCCCATCGGTGCGGGTCTTCAAGGACAGGCTGGACGTGCACATGGTGGGCATGTCGTGAGCGGAGCCAGATGGAGCCGGGGGTCAGACTAGATGGCCCGGGAGGCCCCTTCTGGCTCGCGCTGTTTCTATGTTTCTGTGCACAATGCAGGGTTTGCGCCATTGCCCCCATGGAGCAGGCGCAGGCACGTGGCTCCTGCCCTCAGCGGGGGTTCCATGGGCTCTGCATCCCACAGGAAATGGCCACGCTTCACTCTCCGCTCTTTGGGGTGCTGCGGAAGCAGCGGAGAGAGTGGAACCGCTCTGCCCACCGATCCCCACAATGAGTGGCCCCCGCTCAGCCAACTCAAGCGGGAGAGGAGCGGGACCTCTCGGCCGACCCCTCCAGCGCCTTTGGCACGCTGAGCGCTGCATCCGGCTGCAGAAGGGGCCTTCTGCGCTCCCCCGGGGCCTTCGCAGTGGCTGCCCCTGCAGAGGGAGGCCAGGCCAGCTCCGCCTCTGCCTGCCGGCTGCTCTCGGGCCGAGGTGCTGCGCGGCTGTGGCTGGGCTGGGCCAGGGCCGCCGTCCTTCCTCCTACGGATGTTTATGCCTGATGAGCTTTGGCAGTTTAATTATGTGCTGCTTCATTGCTGGCGTCCTCAAGCGCCACGTCGAACGGGAAGCGGGGCCACGGACAGCTAACCGTGGCCTGCCAGGATCGGTTCACAGGGTCACCCAGCCAGAGGCGGCAAAGCGGGGCAGAGGGTATGTGCAGAGGGGTTCGCGAGGGGTGCCTGCCAGGCCTCCCAGCCGGGCCACTGGGCTCTCCCACTGGGATGCCCCCCTGCGCTCTCCTGTGCCCCTCCTGCCAGGGGGTCCATGAGTGCATTTCTGTCTTGCCAGGTGTGGGAACTGCCTGGGGCGTCACGTGGAGGGCCGAGCACCGCAAGGATTGCTCAGCTGCTTCGGAAAGTGGGCCTCCCTCACAAAGAGCCCGCACCCGCTTGCTTCCCTGCCCGCTTTTGCCCTGGGGGGCTGTGCTCTTTGGGGCCCCTGCACGGCCCTCCTTCTGGCTCGGTGCCGCCGCGCCCTTCCGGGGGACGAGGCGAGCGGGGCAGCCAGGCCGCTGCGCAAGCCCGGCCCCAAGGCCAGCGGCAGTCCCCTTGCAGCTGGGAGGTCTTGGGGGCTCGCAGTCCCGTGGGGGGCAGAGAAGGGGCTTGGCAGCTCTTTGGCACCCGGATTCCACGCTGGCGCACAGTGGGCGGAAGAGCCGGGGCAGGCGGGAAGCGAGAGGCGCAGAGGCGGCGGCCGGGCGGCCCCCACGCTCTCCTCCCCTGGGCCCGCAGCCCCGCTCGGCGGCACCAGCAGCCCCATCAGCGTCTTCCGCCGCCCGCCTGCCCCGTGCAGGGCACGCTCTCCCGAGGCGGAGCCCCCCGGCCGCGTCCTGGCCGCTCTGGGCAACTTCCCAGGAGAGGCCGGCTAAGAGCTGCCGCAGCTGCCCCCACAGGGCCCCGGAGAGAGGGCGGCCCCGTTACCTCGGTCCTTCCCGTTCTGCACTGTGTCCTCCTCCTCTTCCCCGCGCTCCTCTCCTCCTGCCAGGGAAAGACCACGTGCCGTGAGAGCCGGCAGGAGAGCGCCTCGCGGGGGTTGCCTGAGCCGCCGGCTGCCCTAGAGGCTGGGTGGCCCTTCTGTGGGCCCCCGGTGCGAGTCCTCCCGCAGGGCGGTGTCTCACGCGTGGCCCCCAACCCGTTTCCAGGCCACATGCTTGAACCAGGCAGCAAAACGCCCCCTCAGCAGAAAGGCCCCTGCAGGCCAGCAGTGCTCGCGGGCGGCCCCCCACCCCCCGGAGGGCGGGGGGCGCTTCCAGGGCCGGCCAGGGGGGCTGCAAGCGGCAGGCGCCTGCCTCGGACTGGCCCAGGCTCCCCCGGGGCAGGGCCTCCTCTGTGGGGGCTCCAGCTGCTCCCAAGCCCAAGCCTGGCAGGGGCCCATGGGCGGGCAGGGGGCCTCCCCAAGGATACAGAGCTGGGGGGCACGGGCAGGGGGTGTGCCCAGAAGGGGACTGAAAAGTGGAAAGAGCAGAAAGGTGAGCAGACCAGGAAATGCCCAGCAGGAGAGCGGGAGAGGTGCCTGGCTGCCGGAGCAGTGGCAGGGCGTGCGGGGCGGGGATGGGGGCAGTGGGGGCCCCTCGGAGGCTCTGCTTTGGCGGGGGGGGGCAGCGGGCGGCCCCTGCCCCGCCGGGAGCACGGAGGCTGGTGCTCCACACGGCCTCCCGTGCTGCCTGCCCCAGGCCTCGGGAGTCCTGAGGTCCAGCGGGCTGAAGGAGCTCGGGCCTTCCTTGGCTGGGCCCCGGGATGCTTCTCCTGACTTTCGCCTGGGGACAAGTTCTCTCCCGGGAAGCCCGGCCTGCGCCCCAGCGGAGACTCCGCCACCTGGGGCCACAACAGGCCCCGGAGACGGTCCCGGGAGGGTGGGAGTGGCAGGGCAGGGGCTTGGAGGGCGAGAGGCCCGCCTCGGCCCGCCCCAGCCGCTCGCCTCGGCCCGCACAGCCGCTTTCTGGGGCGCCTGCCTCTCCCCGTGGCGGGGGCTGCTGCTGGCGGGGCTCGTCCTCTCGCTGCGCAGCCCCACGTGGCACCCCCTCCCCCACGCTCCAGGGCCCGCCGCACACTTTCCCCAAGCGAGCGAGCGGAACCCTCCCCGCGCAGCCCGGCACGGTCCACCCGAAAGCAAAACAGGCCCCAGGCCACGCCAGAGCTGGTGCCCACAGAGCCCGCCAAGCCCTCGCCTGCCCGGCTTGTCCCTGGGCCCGCGCGGCTTCTCCCCACGGCTGCGGAAGCATCCTCAGGCCAAGCGCAGAGCGCTGACCGGGCCCCTTCCTGCCACGTGGCCAGTGCCTGTGCGAGCCCCTCTCCCCCTGGCGGCCCCACCCCAGCTCGGGCGGCCCCTGGAGCCGCCCCCCATGATCCGCAAGCCCGGGCAAGGGGCTCCCGCGAAGGGGCGCCCGGGCGGAAGGAGCCCGCTGGGCCTGCCGGTCCCGTGCCTGAGCCCGGCCCGCCGGCTACCTGAATGCAGCTCCTTCACCAGGGACGACATGGTGTTGGTAATGGAATCCGCCGCAACCAGCAAATCGTTACGGAGGTTCCTCCGTGTTCCTGCGGGAAATTGAAATGAAGGAACGCGGAAATCCATCACTGGAGGCGAAGCGAGCGGCACGGGTGCAGCTCTCGGCTGCCTCCCCACACGTGACGGGCCTGAGCTGCCCCGGACCCGGCGAGAACAGGGGCTGGCGGGCCCAAGGAAGTCCCGAGCGGTGCGGTCCGGAGATGCGCAGGCGAGGGGCCACCTCCGGAAAGGGGGGCACTCTGCAGGGCGAGGGGGGTGCTCCGTGGCCACCCGTCCCCTGCAGCGCCCACCCAGGCAGCCCCGCTCCTTCCTTGAGATCCCCCTTTGAAGGACGGCGGCAGGCCGTGTCCTCGCGCCAGCCGGACGCGTGGATTGGGCCCGCTGGCTCGCTCGCCCACCCAAGAGGCGGCGCTCTCTGCAGCCCCCTCCTCGCGCCTGGTGGGCCCCGATCCCTTTGGGGGTGCAGAAGGAAAAGGGCAGGTCCGGCGCGCTGGACCAGGCTGAGCCCCCCTGCCCTTGGGGAACCTCAGTCTTGTTGCGCTGGGGAGGCCGAGCTCTCCGAGAGCCTCGGGGGGGGGGGGGCTGGCTGGGCCTGGAGGGAGGCAGCCGGTCCACTGCACCAGGAGGCCCTCCCCCTCCGCCCCCGGGGGCTGCCCTTGCCTGGGGCTCCGCCTGCCCCTCGCCCCGAGAGCTTGCTGTGGCCCCGGGCAGGCTCCTCCGGGCACGAAGCTTGCTTGGCCTGAAGGCCAGTGGGCCGTGGGAGGCAGCCAGCGATGCCCCGCACCAGCCCGGGCACGTGCATCTGAGCGAGCGCGAGCAGCGGCCGTCCCCAAAGGCCATGCACGGGCCTCCCTCCATCCCCTCAGAAGCCCTGGGCGGAGAGCCCACCGCCTCCCGGGTCCCATTGCCCTACGGCTCCCAGTCAGGAGTCTCCGCAGGAAGCTGGCTTCCTGGAGCTTGAGCCCATTCGTCCACGTCCTGCGCCCTGGGGGGACTGAGGAGGGAGCCCGGCCTTCCTCCTTGCGACAGCCTTTCGGGTACTTGCAGAGTGCCCCCCCCCCCGGCTCCCCTCAACCTTCCCTTCTCCAGGCTAAACAGGCCCAGTTCCTGCCATCTCTCCTCTCAGGGCTTCCTTCCCAGTCCCGGATCATCCTTGGTGCCCCCCTCTGACCCCTTTCCAGCTTGTCTCCATCTTTCTTCGACTGCGGTGCCCAGAACTGGACCCTGGCGTCCAGACGGGGCCACACCAGGGCCGAGTGAAGGGGAACCAGGACTTTATGGGATTTGGAAGTGATCCCTCTATCAGTGCAGCCCAAAATCGCCTTTGCCCTTTTTGCAGCCGCATCATGCGGTTGACTCACACTCAGCTTGGGATCTACAACAATCCCTTCTCCCTTGTCCTGCTGAGCCAAGTTCCTCATCTTGTAACGATGCATTTGTGTGTTTTTTCCCCTAGTGTCATCCTCCATGACTGATCAGAGGTAATGGAGAACAGTTCTGAGTCCTTCCACCAGCCCCTCCGTGAGTGTAGGATGGAGACTGTCAGACCCGGAGACGGGCGCTCGTGAAGCCCAGCCCATGGTCCTTGGCCCTTTTCCTGCCAGTCCGGAGCTGCCCTTCCGCACCCTCAGCGGGCTCTTCCCCCTCGCCAGGAAGCCCCGGCTCTTCTTCCGGGAGAAGACGGGGCCAGAGGAGGAGCTGAGCGCTTCCGCCCTTTCTCTGCCATCATCGTTTTGGGCTCCACACTGAGTGGCTGGCCCCCATTTCTTGGCTCTGTCTTTTGCTTCAGACACACCTGGGCGGGCTCTTTGTCGCTTTTCGCATCCCTCGCGAGCCTCCGCTCATCGCCAGCACCAGCCTCCCTGACGCCACCCCTGCAATTCCGCGCCCGCTGCTTGTATCCCCCCCTTGCAGCCCGGCCTCCCCTCCCTTTCCCCCTCGTGTCCCTTTTCTTTCACAGCCACGCGGGCCTCCTCTGCTCTCGTCAACCTTTCTCCCCTTGGAATGGGGCCTTCAGCATTTCCTTTTCTAAAAATCCCCACCTCCTCGGACGCCTCCTCTCGTGGAAGCCACGTGCCACGGGACTCGTCACTGTTCTCACGGGCTCCCGTGAAATCCAGGGCGTGCGCTTGGCCGCAAGGGGCCCCTGCTGCTTTGGAGCCAGGAACGCCCGTGAGGCCCGGTCCCTTTCCCCGGAGTTCCCGTGGCTGCCCCCGCGCCCACGAGGTCTCCCCGCTGCGCAGCATGGGGGCCGGGGTGGCCCTTCCTCTGCCGCCTCCTCTGCTTTCTGCTGTGCTGCAGAGCAAGCAAACCCCCCGTCTGGCGGCGGGACGTGTGGGCAGAGCGGTGCTCCCCTCATCCTGCCCACAGCCGTCTGCCCTGCTGGAGTGGGGAGGGGGCTGCGCAGGCACGCGGGGGCCTTCGGGGTCCCGCAGGATTGGAAGTGCCCCGGCTTTGCTTCTGGCAACTGCCCAGAGCACTCTGGCTGCCTGGATGTGGGGCCAGAGGTGTGGCTTCCGGGCCGAGAGAGGTGCCGGCACCGTTCCGCAAGACTCTGGTGCGCCCACGACTGGAGTCCTGCGTCCTCCTCTGGGCTCCACGTACAAGAGGCCGAGCCGGGTCAGAACCGGTCCGGCACAGGGTCACAAAGATGGCAGCCGACTGGGGGGCGGGGTGCCATGAGACAAGATGGGGGGAATTGGGCCTTTCAGCCTGGAGGAGACTCTGAGTGGATCTTCTAGTGACTTCTGGGGGTGCGAGGGGGCATCCTGTGGGGGAGGGCCGTGAGCTGATCTCCCCTGCAGTGGAGGACGGGACGTGCTGCAATGGGGCAAAGCTCAGGAAACCGAGGCTCAAGGTGGATGCCGGGAAGTACATCGTAAGTAAGACAGTCAGGACCCCGAGGGCATGGAAGGGGCTTCCGAGGGAGGTGGGGGAGGCCCCGTCAGGGAGGGTGTTCAAGGGACGATCGCGCACCCCCATGCTGGGGATGACATGAGCGGAGCCGGATTGTGCCAGGGGGTCAGACTAGATGGCTTGGGAAGCCCCTCCAGACTTGCTGCGAGCAGTATGGAAATGAAGAGGACGGGGAAAGGCCACGCTGGCACAACCTCCACGGACGAGCGGAGTGGATGCCCCGGCCATCCCCATGCGGTTTGCGCACAGGTGCCCCCCCGCGGGTACTCGCACCACCGCCGGATTGCGGGGGCGCCAGCGTTTGCTCACCCTGTGCAAAGGCCTCCTGGACATCCCCGCCGACACCGGCAAGCGCATCCTGGGGCACGTGCGTCGGGGTGGAGCCGGCAGACGTGGACCGGACGGGCATGGGCATCGTGCGGCCAGCCCCGTGGACGGGGGACGTGCGCGGCGAGCCGGCTGCCTGGGCCTGAAAGAGACACGGAGCCCGGTTTAGACCGGCAGGCCCTCCGGCACCCACGCCGAGCCGAGCAGCCCTGGCGAAGGGGGTCTGGCCGCCTGGGGCAGACGCGGCCCCTGCTGCCGCTGCGCCCCCCCAGAGGGCCTTGGCCCCGTCCGGGGGCAGCGGCAGCTGCTGAGGCTCCAAGCGCCCCCCGCCCCCCCAGGCTGCGGCAGCCAACAGCCACCGCCCAACAGGTGCCGAGAGCGCCGCCCCGGGGCCTGCACTGGCGAGGCCGCTCCCCGCAAGAGACCGGGCGCCGTGCGCACGGCCCAGCGGCGCCAAAGGGCTGCCCCACAGAGCACGGCGGCAGAGCCCAGCGGCTGAAGGGCCCCGGGGGCCGGAGGGGGGCAGCCGAGGCACATGCGCCGAGAGCCACGGGCGGCCGCCGGCCACGCGCCACCGGTGCCTTCCCTGCTGCTGCGTGTTCGGCATGTGATGCCCCTGCGGCGAGGCGCCCGGGAAGCGGTGGCTCTGTGCTGGGTCAGCCTGTCGGTGGCAGAGGCCGGCTGGCGCCTCCTCCCCAGACCTGGACAGCACAGGGCGGCTCCGTCGCACCCCCCCCCCCCGGGGGGGGCCGCCCCCCCCCCGGAAGCCCTGCCTGGTCCGCCGGCGGTGGAGCTCACGGTGCCCGGCCAAGGGGCCGCTCAGGGCTGCGCTGGGGGGCCACACTCCTCGTGGGCAGCCCTGAGCGGGGTCCCGGGGACGGTGGAAAAGCACCCCAGGAAGGCCGCAGGGGATTGCCCAGGCTGGCCTGGCGCCTTCCAGTGCTGCTTCACTACAATGCCTAATCTCCTGGGGGTGATGGGAGCCGTAGTCCAGCACGGCTGGGGGACACCAGGGGGTGGACGGCTGCCTGAGCGCGTGCCGGCGCTCGGGCACCGTTGCGAGTTTGGCCCAGGCCTGGGTCAAATGGCGCCGTTCTCATCAGCTTGCGGCCCACGAGAATTTGGGTGAGGCGGCACCGCGGGCCCAAGGGGGCACCTCCGCTCCCGGCGGAACCAGAGCGCAGGCGCGGGTGGTGCGAGAGCGGGGGACCAGCGGGCGGCCCTGGGGGGGTCCCGGGGCCATGGAGCCGCATGCGAGGCTTGTCCCCTGGCCACAGAGGCGGGCGAGAGCGACCCGCTCGCCCCCAGAGGAGGGAGGAGGCCGAAAGGCCATTTGGAGGGGCATCCTGCCCAGGTTCCGGCAGGGGAGCCACGCACGCGGGGACCCGGGGTGGGGGCCGCGCCCCAGGAGAGGACGAGTGTGGCCCACACACCCCGCGGGGGCCTCTGGCAGGGCGAGCGCCGCACGGCTGGGGGGGCCCTGCGGGTGGCGGGCCAGGGAGCAGTGGCTGCCTGGAGCAGGAGGGGGTCCAGGGCAGGGAAGCGTCTGCGGGGAACCTCCGGGCCAGCAGCCACGGAGGGGGCGGAAGCACCGGGACGGGAAGGATGCCGACGGAGGGCGGCCCCGAGCCGCAGGGGGGCACGGCCACACAGGGGAGCGGCGTGAGGGGCAGGGGCCCCCCAGAACACTGCAGCAGGCGGAGCCGTGGCGTGGCTCGTGGGCGCCTCTTCTGCACGGACAGCTGTGCGCAGAAGGGAGTCGGGGAGCCCCTTCCTCGCCCCCAAGGCAGGCTGCTTCTGACGTCGCCAGGGCCTGGGCCCGCCTCCACACGTGGCAGTGCTGGGGAGCAGCGCCCCTCCCCACAGGGGCCTCTGGCCCGGATCGGGAGGTGGCCTCTCGCCCCAAGAGGGCTGGGGGCTCCGACAGCCGTGGGCCTGCCCACGCTCGTTTCCGTGCGGCCTGCGAGCACGGCGGCCGGCTCCCGCTGGCGGATGGACGGAGACTCCTCATCTCCGGATGCTTCCAGACCCTCTTCGAGGGGAGATGCTCACGAGGAGCCCCTGCCGCAGCTGGACACGCCTCACGGGGCCGCTGAGGAGGAGGCAACCTGCAGCGGGGCCTGCGCTGCGGCGGGCGGGAGGCTTCCTTCTGCCACAGCCAGGCTGGCGCTCCCGGGCCTCCGGCTGCTGGCCGGTTGTTCCCGCTGGGCGGCTGGGGACACCCCACGGTGCTGGATCAGCCGGCGGAGCAGGGGACCCCTGGCTAGGGCGGGCGGGTGTGCCTGGACCGCCAGGGAGGTCGTGGTGGGGTCGGGAGAGCAGAGCACAGCGGTCTGCCCGGGCGCCTGCTTTGCATCCCGTGGCCAGGGCTGCGCGACCCGGGTCTTGCGCAGGATGCCGTCCACAGGCAACGCCCACAGACTGCCCACGTCGTGTCCTCAAGCACGGAGCGAGCATCGGGGCAAGTGCGGAGCCGGGCCCCGACCCTCCGCGCTGCCAGCAGCACCTCCGTGGGAAGCCGCTGCTTTTCCGCCTTCCCGGATCCCCTTTCAGCCCCACAGATGCGAAAGCAGCCGCCCAGCAGAGAAGAGCCACGTGTGCTCAGGCCACCTCTCTGCCACCAAGAAGCACAACCAATGAATCCAGAGCTCTCCTTCCCAGGCTGGCCCGTTTCAGGATCTGCCACCAGCAGCGGCTGGAGCAGTGCCGCCCCGAGGGGCGCCGGCGCCTGCTGCAAAGGGGTGAGGAACGCAACCGGAACCTCCCGGGACGTGTCCCGCAAGACGTGGGAGGAAGTGGGGGCAGGTGGGGCTCGCTGGCAGAGCCCTCCTGCCTGCCTTCCACCGGGGGCTGTGGCCAGATCTGCTCCTCCGCGCAACCCTGGTGCTGCAAGACCCGCCAGCAAGAGGCGGGAGGGCGCTGGGGCCTGGAGGCGGCTGGGGAAGGCCCGTGGGTCGTGCGAGCGGCAGTAGGGCTGCACATGCCGCCAGAACGAGACTTTGCCCAGTGCTGGCTGGGGGGGCTGCCGGGCCGCAGGCACACGCGGAGAGGCAGACGCCCTTGGCCTGCGGGAAGGCTCTGCCGCGCCAAGCCAGGCCGCGACTCCAGTCCCCGGCCCAGCGGCAAGCGCACCCCACACCTCTGCCGACAGAACGGGAGAAGGAGCCCCCGGCTGCGCCCTCCCTGCCCCACCCGGCGAATGGCCGGCGCGCAGCCAGCTGAAGCACCCCGGGGGAGCGCAGGCGCCGTACTGCTGGGCAGAGGCCCTGGATCGCGGGGCGGGGGACCCGGCCACACGGGGCACAGTCCGCCTAGACGTTCGCCCGCACACAGCTGCCCCTCCGGGCTTGTGCAGGGGAGCCTCCCGGGGAACGGGGGCCAGTGCAGAGCCTCACGGCCGGCTGCCCTCCCTGGCGGCCCCACCGACTGCCGGAGCGGCCCCCGCCTTTTCCGCCTTGGCTGGCCCTTGTCCGAGCGCTCCCTCTGAGCAGCACGAAGGTTCAGCGGGGATCTCCAGGGGTGGCTTGGGGCAGGGGCCAGCGCTGCGCCAAGGAGCCGGCCGCCTGGAGCCTGAACGCGGCAGTCCAGAATGAGCCCCCCTCCCGCCCGGTCTCCTGGCAGTGGCGCCATTGCAGGGCCCGGGGCAGCGTTCCTCCGCACACCCCCTCCGAGGCCGCTGGGAGCAGCCGTGCCGGCAGGACAGCCATGGAGGCGCAGTCCACGTGCCGGGCAGCACTTCCAGACGGGGGCCTCCTGCCGCTTGCTGATCCTCGGCAAGCCCCTGAAACTCTGCATCTGTGCCAGACCTCCTCCTGCAAGACCTGCCCTTTAGTACTGCTCTTACGGAAGGAGCAGAAGCATTTCCTGTGAAATAAAAGGCCATTTCGAAACAGTGAAATGAGAAAAGGATGGGCTCTTCATGCAGTTACAGGAGGGTTGGCCGTAAAACACAAACATCAAATAGAAAAGACATGTCCAAGCCGAGGAGGCGTTCCAAGCATCGCCAAGCGGCCGCCTTCCATTTTGCACGCCCTGGAAACGGCGTGGGCTCCATGAACTGGGACGCATTTTCAGCCACTGAAGCCCTTGCGTGCGGCGCGGAAAGCACACAGCAACACGCCTGCGGAGTGTTCCTGGGACACGCCGGTCCTCGCATCCCCTCCCAGGACCAGCAGCCTCACAGTGTCCAGCATCCACACCGCCTGGCGCTTGTGCCACTGCGGCGCCCTTGGAAACTGGTGGATTTTCAGGGCAATGAGAAAAGTGGGGGGAAGCAACAAGGACGATCCCGACCGCGCCTGCAGAATCCCCGCAAAACCCGGAGAGCGAGGCTAAGATCCATTCGACTCATACCTGCCTTTCCACCATGGAAATGGCATTTGTGCAGATAAACAGCAGAACGGCAACAGCACGTTAACAACACGCACAGCCACAACCCAACCAGAAAAGCATCCGCGTCCCACGGGGTCAGCTCTCGTGCTGGAGGCCTGCTGGGAGAAGCGGGGAGCTCCATGGCAGTCAGCGCAGCGCCAAGGGGGGCCTCCCTGGGCATCCGAGGCCGGGCGGACTGCGGAGGGCGGCTTCCACATCACCCCGCACGGGGCGCTGCTTGGCCGGGACCGCGGAGCGGAACGGACGATGGCAGCAGCTCCTCCCCGGGGCAGGAACCGCTGCGTGCTGGGAGCCCTGGAGATCGGGGCGCCGGCAGCAGGATTTGGGCAAGCCGTGCCCTCTCTCACGTGCGCCAGCGGCAAGGCCGGGCTCTGCCGCGTGCGGACGAGGGAAGGCCAGCCAAGGACGCCTCCACAGGAGCATTCGGCAGGATGTGGCCAGGCGGACACGGGCCCCGACAGAATCTGCAAGCAGGTGCTCCGGCGCCGCACTCTCACGGCAGCCCTCCGTGCGGCCGGGTTTCCACGGTGAGTGCGAAGCGTGCCCCTTGGGGCAGGGACGTGGCGCGTGCCGCCTGCCCGCACTGGCCCGGCAAGCGGCGAGCTGCAGCGAAAGTCCTTCGCCTGGAGAATCACGGGCCGCAAACGGTCTCGTTCGAACAACGCTGGCCGGGCAGGCAGGCTGGGGTCACGACCTGCAGTGCTACTGGAGCAGTGACCCTCCAGGTAGGCTTGGACACCAAGTCCCATC